CAAACAACAACACAACACATTCCAAAACTAATGGACCATTTAATCGACCATCCAGATACATCTCATCCAATTCAACAACAACAAAATCATCACCCACACCCACCGTCGGCATTTAGGAGTGACGTTGCATTCATTACGTAAGTGGCCAAGTTCCCAACAATTGTTACAATAAGTCATTTTAAGACTTGGAATGAAAGCAGTGACCGGAAGCATGAGATGTCCTATAGCTATTCGACCAATCGTTATTATTTCTGTATATTCATTGATATCAGTGATGCAGAACCTGAAATCATTTGTTGTTCGAGTATGATGGTAATTAATTTTTGAAACGGACGCTGCTGACTTGATGGATCTGGTTATTTCATTGAAAACCAACCCATTTGATAATTCTCCAGGCACATAACGTACAACTACGGCACATCGGTCTGGTAATGCACGGGGTCGTCGAATTTCAATTTTAAATTTCTCCATTTCATTGGGCCATTTACAGTTCCAAAGGGTTAAAAAGTCATTCAACGATTTAACGCCAAATTTGTATCTATTCGTACCAGCAGGTATTAAAAGAGAAAATTCGTTGATTGAATTAGATGTATGTTGTTGAACATATTCCCGTATCCAACATGCTACTTGCATTGCAGATGGCATTTGAGTCTTGGTCATATTCGTATTTGTATCAATTTTGATGTAGAAACATGGTAGATTATTGTCTATGGCTCGTTTCAGATGAGCCTGAGAAAAGTGAAATTGGTAAGTTGAAGGTGCTGTGGCTGCTGCTGAGGTTGCCGATGATGATGATATCGATTCTTGAGGTTGTAATATATTTATTTGCCGTAGCGTAGTATTTCTTGAAACATTGGCAGCGAATGGTCGTCGTAAACTAGAGTACGTTGGATTATTTGATGATGTTATTTTTGGATGGTCGAAAGATGTCTTTGCTAGTTGGTCTTGTGGGTGATGATTTTGTTGTTGTTGAATTGGATGAGATGTATCTGGATGGTCGATTAAATGGTCCATTAGTTTTGGAATGTGTTGTGTTGTTGTTTGTTGGGGACTAATGAATACATTTGGAGAGCGTGGCTGGTGATGATGATGAATCACGTTGCTATTGTTGTTTTGTTGTTGTTTATCTAATTTTTGTTGTTTATAAATTTCAATCATGTATTCAGCAAATTTTTCATCATTTTTCATTCGATTAAACCAGTCATTGATATCAGATTCATTATATGTCGTCCGGGCTTCTTTCCGGGCTTCATCGTTTGCGTTCATTGAGAGGATAGGATACGAGGATAACGAGGGTAACCAAGTAAATGAATCAAACAGAGCTGTAAGGCAAGGATATAATAATAAGTACGTCTTATCAGTACAAGGTTGGGTGAAGAAGTGAGTAAAGAATTATTGACGCTACTTTTTCTCATAAATAGATAATATTTTTTATTGATTTGTTGTAGAAATGATGATAAAGTTCAAGTTTTACTACGCAAAAGTAATCAATGAATATAAAAATGTTATAGACATGATGCATAAACGTACATGGCACAGTGGGGAGCCAGGCGGACATATGCGAAAATATTCTTTTTTCAGAATCTAATCGTTTGCGCAGATACATGCATATGTGATCTATCATTTTCTAAAATAGTGGTTCTCAAAGTTTTATAGAGCCCTAGATAAGAGC